TGGAAGTAGTAAGTCTCTGTTGATGCTCATGGCTCCTTGTTAAGTTACTGGTGGGCGGAAAGTAGGATTAGATTGAACTTGGTTGTCCTTCTTCCTCCTTTGACTTAGTTCATTTCGATAATGATTTTAAATTAAAGGGTGTTATTTTGTCTGCTTTTTCAAATTAATGTCATTATTTTACACTTAGTAAGTATTAACCTTCTTTTGGCACACTAAGTATATTTGTCATTTTGGTTGTGTCTTCCATCTATCGGGGTAACTTAGGAATAGTTCTTTTCATAGCTTAAAATCATGGCTTTGGCTAGGTTTTATTGTTGTCGGTTTTTGTTTTTGTTTTGCTTTGGATGTGAAAATTTGACCAAACGCTTCTGTGAAGTATTACTTACTGTCTGGTCATTACAACACTACCTCTAGGGAATAAGAAATGGGTTGGAATTCTTAATTGTAGATCCTGATCACTCACTTGACCAAGTTCAGATACCGTTGTTGTGAAAGAATCCAAACAGCACTGAGGTGACGGATGGGTCTCCAGGAAAAGCCCCATCACGGAGTTTGCTTTCTGTGTGCTGGAGGCAGTGTGAGTTACAGCCTTGGCTGTGCTCTGAGTCCCTGATGCCCTAACGTGGCACATACTAGGTCAGCTGCTCATTTATAGGGCCTGACGAAAACTGAGACTTAATGGTATTTCTTTCTCCATCACTCAAGGGGGAAAAAACCCACTAACACAAGCCCATAAATGAAAGATATTTCCAAAATAAAGTTTGATTCATGATATAAGAAGAAAACCACCATCTTCAGTATGGCTAGGACTTTCACACCTACAAAATACTTCTCTATTGATTAGCTTCTTTTAGAAGGCAATAGGGGAGCTGAGAAACAAGGCCACAGTTGGAAAGTATTCAAGTATTTAGGGATCTGGCCAACAAAAAGGCTTGAGATCAAGACTATACAGGTCCTGTGAGTAACAAGCAGAGGAAAAGCTTTACGAGTTATGGGAGAATGCCCAGTAGACAGACCATTTGGTAACTCGTCTTCTCCTTGTACCTTGCCCATTGTCCTTACCCGATTCTCCCAAACCAGGCCATGCTCCCCATTAGTCTCTGCCAATTGGATCGTGCAGCAGCACATCACTATTCTGCCTGTGACCAAACTATTTAGGCTGCTTCCTTGACGAACTAGTTCCAGTTTTCTTTGTAATCCACATACGGAGTTGTAGTTCTGTGTGATGTGCAAACCACGTTTGCAGCTAGAATTTTTGACGATAGTGTAAAGTGGAGTCTTGTATACAGTTGAAATTTGAAGCTAATCTCAGGGTGCCTGGGTTGGCTCAGTCGGTTAAGCATCCAACTCCTGATTTTAGCTCAGGTCATGACCTCACGGTTCGTAGGATTGAGCCCTGTGTCGGGCTCTGCACTGACAGTGTGGAGCCTGCTTGGGATTTTCTCTCTCTCTCTCTCTCTCTCTCTCTCTCTCTGTCTCTGCCCCTCCACTCAATTAATAAATAAACATTAAAAAAAAAAAGAAACTTGAAGCTTATCTCAGTATGAACTTTAATGCTTACCATAACAGGTATCTAGTCTAATCTTCAAATTGGTTTGGAGCTTTGCTGTCAAGTATTACACCAGCAAAAGAGATTTGGTTTAAGTAAAATGATATTTAGCTCTATTTCCATTTGCCAGTCTCCTTTGGTAGTAATGCACTTAAATTATAAATATTTATTGAGCACCAGAGAGTTCCTAGAGGAACTCACCTAGTTAATTCAGAAATTGTTTTTTGAATGAATGAACCCCAACATGCTGATTTTTGCGTGTGTGTGTATATTCAAAACACACAAACATACATTCTTAAAACTTTAATAGACAATATAGAGGGTTTAAAATTTTTTTATGTTGTTTTAAATACTAAATATGTATTTATGTTATGTTTTAAATACTAAATAAGCTAAGAGACCTGAAAAAAATTCTGTAATTTTTTCATCATCTGAATATCTTATTCCTCTTAATCAAAAGAAGTTGTATGGTCCAAGAAGAAGAAAGAATAGTAGGTTATCTGCCTATCACTTCTATTTCTTCTCTGCTTTTGAGTTGCTTTGTACCTTTGAAACTCTTAGCCTTTATTAGCACTTAAGAAATGAAGGTAGTATCACAGTCGATACCTAACAGGCTTTAAAGGCCTTCAGAGGCAGATTGTCCCTGTATTTCACTAGGAGCTCATCTCTGCTGTAGGGAGGGATGTTTCTTTTTACCCTCTCAAATCCAGACCAACTAGTATTTACAGTTGTTAACCTTCAGCTCTACTTATTTTATAAATTGATATTTTCAGCTGAAAGAAAACAAATATTCTTAGAATTGCTTTTTTTTTTTCCTTGGAGCAATGATATCCTAGGGTCTAAAATACCTGAGCAGCACATTCCCATGGAAACAGTACACAGAAGGTGTGCACTGGGTCTGTGTCATGGGGCTCGAAGGTTAGAAACAGTGTCTGTTCTTCATTCTGGAAGTATGTAGGTGAGGTTCTGCAAGTGTTACTCACAGCCTTTGCTTTTGCACCTTTTCTGCCTATGGTGTCCTGCAAGCCGAATCTAGAGAAGAACTGCAATAAAAGATTGTGAGGAACACAAGTGAATTTCATAAAGAATGCTAGATCAATCTAAGACTTTTATTATGAAAAGAAAATACAGACTTATGCTGAACAGAGATGATATTTAAAAGTTTTTAGGAGAGGGGTGCCTGGGTGGCCTAGTCGGCTGAGTGTCCGACACTTGATTTTGGCTCAGGTCATGATCTCATGGTCGTGGGAGTGAGCCCCTCATTGGGCTCCACGCTGAGCATGGAGCCTACTTGAGAGCAAGCACTGTCTCCTCTCTCAGAAAAAAAAAATTTTTTTAGTAGAACCAATCCCCTTTAAAGCTGTTGAGGTTGAAATAGTGTCTCTTTGTATAAAACTCAACATTAGAAAGATTATTTGTTCCAGTAATCAACTGAGAAGTAAAAATAGAGTCACGGATTATATGTATATGAACACAATGTGGAGAATATTAAGATTTCTCTCCTTACCACTCTGGTCTTGTTCTCAGCGAATACCCTATTCAGCGGTCAAAGAAAGATTCTGAGGGAGTAGAGATGGGAGTTGCCGGCTCCGTCAGCCTTCTGCAGAATGTCACCTTGTCTACCCAGCCCATTTCCAGTTTGGACTGGAGTCCAGATAAAAGGGGTCTCTGCATCTGTAGTTCATTTGATCAAATGGTAAGAGTACTGATTGTTACAAAACTCCATAAAATTTGATCTAAAGACTTTGGACTTGAAACCTTCCAGAAGAACACTCATAGTATTTAGAATGTGCCCTGGAATCCTCTGACCTTCACTGAACAAAGTTGGATTTGACTGAGAAAACAGGCCCCAGACGCAAACATCCAGACTAGCCCGTCTCTGGGTGGGAAATGCCGAGAGGTGTGTTCCAGCAACCTGACTGGACACCGGTTTGCGGTTTGTTAGCGCATGGGGCACCGCTGTCTCCAGGGCCAGCTCTGTTCATCTCCCCTCTGTTTCTAAGAAAAAGTTGATACTTGTCTATATTCAAACATATTTTTAATTTGTTCTTCATCACCAGAGTTATAATACTTTACCATAACACCTAGTTTAAAATTGTTTGCTTTGGTAAAACTACTGTGAATTAACCTTCATAAATATACTTTGAGAGATTTCAGTGTCAGTAAGTTTCTGGAAAGAATAGTACTTTATAAAATACCAAAATGTCATGGTCAGACTAGATTTGGGTAACAGTTTTTAGCTGTATAACTCATAAAATGAAATATTATTTACAATGACCTCTTTTTACTTCAGAAATAAGAGTAAAATTAGACTTTTGCTTATTGAGTGGTAAGTGATGTTGAGATGTATAAGATTGTGGGTTTTCTAGCCTTATTTTTTGTCACATCTTTTTATATATTTTATGAATAAATTTGTTTTTGAAATCTATGGAAGCTCTGATTCTGATAATTTAACAGTAGTAATAAAGCTGACACCAACACTTCTTTGCTGTATAAATGCTTAATAAGTACCTCTTAATTCACTTTGTTTCCTTAGTGTTTACTAGATCTTTTGATAAAGCTCAGAGGTATTCACTTTATCACTCTTTCATTAAGCCCGCCCTCCCTCACTCTTCTACTCAAGAGTCAGAGCCACCTGAAGCATTTGTAATATGTAAGCTTCCTGTGATCTCATGGGTTCTTGGAAAGTTGCTAGTTCAGAATATTAAATTCAGAAAATTAACCTCTTAAAAAAACCAACAAGATGTTTTATGCTGTGGACAGAATTATGGAAGTAAAAATTAAATTGAACTTTAGGGGTGCCTGGGTGGTTCAGTCATTTGAGCATCTGACTTTGGCTCAGTCATGATGTCACGGTTTGTGGGTTCCAGCCCCACATCAGGCTCTGTGCTGACAGATCGGATTCTAGAGCCTGCTTCAGATTCTGTGTCCCTCTCTCTCTCTTTCTCTCTGCCTTTCCCCCGTGCATGCTCTGTCTCTCTCAAAAATAAATAAACATGAAAAGAATTCAATTGAACTTTAAAAGAAGCCTATACCTGCTGGATTTTGGTTTTGTTTTTTCAATTTTCAAGGAAAAATAAAAAATTTGTGAAATTCTTTCTCAGAAAACTTGTGTTTGATGGTATAATTAGAGAGGTTTAAGTCAAGGATAGTAAATACTTCTATCATTAAATCTAAGATGTCATTGATTGTAAGATGATCTGCCACAGAGAAAGGAAAACGCTGCCAGTGAAACCAATGCACACTTCTTATCACTTAGCATTTCTTTAATATTCCTTGAATGGTCTTTTAAACTTAGATCATCCTTATAAAGGAAAATATATACAAAATAAATTTGGTATGGTATGCCTCAGATTTCTGCCTATTCAGAGTCTGAGCCTTCTACATCACCTTTCCATGTTTCCCTTACGGTATTGTCCTTTGTACCACAAAAAATGTTGGTGAGGCAGGATTTCTTTAAAACATGGTCTTTAATTAATTGTCACTTACTCTACAAATTTGGTGTACACATGCCAGCTGTGACAACTGTCGTCATGATTGCTGCCAACTTACCAGGATCTAGCAGGATCGTTCAGTTATCTATTGCTGTGTAACAAATCACTGGGAAACTTACTATCTGTGCTCCGTGCAGCCTCAGTCAGGCAGCCAGACTTAGGGCTGGAGGATCTGTTTCCAATGTAGCCTTCATATGGCCTGCAAGTTGTCAGCTGGGACCTCAGCCAGGCCTGCGAACCAGGGGCCTCTCCACATGGCATGTGCTTCTTCAGAGCAATGGTGGCTGGGTTCCAAGGATGAGCATCTGAAAAGAGGAGGCCAGGTAGAAGCAATATCATTTTTAAATAGCTTAGCTTCATAATTCATTTAGTGTCACTTTTGCCACATGATATTAGTTGAGGCAGTCACAAAGTCCCCCCCCCCCCACACCCCCTGTTCAAGGAGAGAAGATATAAATTCTACTTCTTGATGGGGGCTTGGCTAGGTTCTGGACGAGCCTGTGAGACTTAAAATATTGTGTCCATTTTTGGAAAATACAATCTGGCTTGGTGATACAAGATGCATCTCAATTTCAAAGATGTAAAAAAGGAGGGAGAGGAGTGATGGGCTTGTTAAAATTGATGAAATTTGTTAGTTGGAATGCAAGTCCTCTATCCCACTCAACTGCTTACACCCCTCCCTGCCCCTAATTTATTGCAGCCATTATTAATCAATCATGGTACTCATTTTCTCTGAGCCTCACAAGCTTTATTACACAACTAGGAGCTACTACCAACTGTTGGTGATCCCCTGTGGAGTCCAGCTAGTCTCCTGGACCAGGCATTACCTCAGTGTGGACCCCCTCAGTCCTTGGGTCCACACAATGATGGGGGTCTCCTGCATGCGACCATCCATATAAACCAAACATGCAAAAACAAAATGGCACTTCATTTGTATACCATGAGAAGTGAGCCTCTTAGCTACCACAATGCTTAGGTTTGCCAGTAGGTGCACCTTCTGTCAACTTACCTCATGGGCTGCATTGCTTCCTGTGAGGGCCAGATTAGAAGCAGACATTCACAGCATTTAGAAATAATTCATCCAGGCCTCAGTACAACCTAAAAACCCAACTTAGATATCGTGTACATTTTAGTGTACTTGTTTCCATTCTTCTTTAGCATAAACATGTGGCGCTTTGCTAGGGGTGGTGGTAAACTATCAAAATATTTTGGTAAGGGATCCCTGGAATAATTCTGATTATGGGGTCTAGGCCCTTCTAGGCAAGTGCTACTTTGTAAAGACATGTTTTCCTTTGGTCACCAGATTGTCCCCTAAAGTAGGTGAAGCAGCAAATAGGCTTTGGATACAAGGCTGGTTTATGCAACCTGAGTATAATATCTCAATCTGCATTCAGTCGCTATGGCTAATTTGGAAAATAAGTGGGCAGTTGGCTTTTAGCTATGTTCCTTAAAAAGGACTGGTTGTTTTTTTTTGCCCAGGAAGACCTCATCCCTACAGGTCCACCCTTGTTGTCTTGTGTAGCCCCACCTCATTAATTTGGGTGGGATTAGGCTGCCAGAGCTGCACAGAGCTGCACAGAGCTCTCCCTCAGAGCTGGGCCATGCCCAGCAGTCCCTATAAGCCAGGGGGCCTGGTGTTGCCTCCTGAGAGAGCCTGGGGGCACTGAGCCTATACTGTTCTTAGACCTGCTGGGATCTGCTCATGGAAGTCCTGTCCCACATCCAGACAGCTGAGGACTCAGGGCTGCTAGGACGATGCCCCCACCCCACTCCACCCACACCCCTTTACGCTGCCTGGAGTGGGGGGCAATTCTTTGGCCAGTAGAATCGCCCCTTCGTCTGTCCCACAGGGCTAGGGTGGACAAGTAGCTGCACAAAAACTCTTTTATCCAGATCCTGCAAATCTGTGTCACTGTATCGGGATCTAGAGGGAAGAAGATCTGCCTGTCCTTAACCTTGAACCAGAAAAGTGGGTGGTTCCTAATCAGAACAACACAAAGAAAGCAGATGCACATTGGCCTCACAAGGCCATGGCCATTAATGTCCATAGGTTTTGTATATTTTCCATCAACCATCAAGTTTGAATGCAGGAATAGATTCTGGCTGTGTTTTAAGTCATAAAGGGAGATTCAGGATAAACACAACCTCTGCTGCCAGGGAAAACACAGATGTCAGAAACAGCTATGGCTGTGACCAAATACAGCTGCATTTATTTATGTAGTAGCACTGAAGCAATTTTCAGGAAGGATTTTTTTTAACAACTGAACTTTGTTTCTGGTGGTCCTGATCCAACTCTGTCCTTAAGTCAACTTAAAGCCAGATCATCCAACAGTGCCCTTCACACAACATTCAATACATATAGATTGGTGATAAAAAAATTATGAAATTATGGCAAAACCCCCAAATTATTTTTATTTAAAAATAAAATTATTTTTATTTCTCTCTTCCAAACATCTAGGTTGGCAGTCTAGGCTGCTATGGTGGCTTCATAACGAGACCTGACCCTATCTTGTTTTTCTACCATCTTCCTTATGTATCTTTTACCTCATCATCCATCATCACTGGGGCTGTTCCAGCTCCAACCATCACATCCACATTCCAACCATCAAGAAAGTAAGAAGAGAAAGGATACCCTGTCACTTAAAGAATATCACTTCTGCTTTCATTTCTTTGGCCATGGGTGGTCACATGGCCACACCTGCCATAGAAAGGTTGAGAAACAGACTTATTCTGTGCAATGGTATACTCAACTCATATCCAGGAGTTCTGAGAAAGACAGGGGAATGAATATTAGGAGACATAATGGATTTGGCCAGTGTCACAGAATAATAGTCTAGCATAACACATCCCTAAGTTCTCCCATGAGGTGAAAACCAGGGAGTGATCAATTCATACTTCCTCAGGCTGGATCTAGATCTTGGCAACCAATATACACTTTTGGGAATTGCATCTTCTCCCTCAGCTAGTATAGACATGACACAGTGGAATTACTTGTTTTCCTGACCTGTTAAATCTTTTATTATCCTTTACATACATTTAATGGAAGCCTAGCCCTGTACAAAAATATGAAAGGGAAGTTCTTCCTAAAACTGAAACTGATCTTCTATCCTAAATTTCTTTCCTGGAAAATTTGTGTTTACTTAATAACAAATTGTTTCAAATTCTAAGCACTGCTTCTGTCCACTGGGCAGTGCAAAGACTTGGAATACAACATGAGTGGAACACTTGCCTCATGCATTTCCATAAACTCACAAATGAAACTTGAAGGGAAAACAATGTATTTATGATTCAGTGTATAGGTCTCTGCCTAAAATTGCTTTTGTTGGTGACTTAGGTGGATAAATTTTGTGTAGATACGGAAAAAATAATTTGTTAATACTGAAGAACTGTCCCTCACACAAAATGATTTCATCCTTTTTCTATGTGAGAACAACCAAAAGGTTTCTGGCAGATACTTAGGGCTTTCAATTATGCCAAGGTACTATAAGATCTGCCTCTTAACAGCTTTTAGTGAATTGTCTTCCCTCTGGGAAGGAGTCACTCTCTCCTAGGGCTGTGCTTTCTGAATCCCAGGCCTTTGTTACACCTAAAGACCCTGTGGTGTGCTGCCCCCTTGTGGGAAAGTGTGGGCATTGGGGATCACAGAAGAAAATAGATTTTGCCCTTCAGATGCAACTGGAAAACCTTCATTGTTCAATTCACAGCAGGCACACAAGTCAAACTGGACCGCAAGAAAGACATTATCTTATAGAAATTTCTTCTAAAAATAAGAGTGTATTTACAAGGAGAAAAACACTTTACAGCATGGCTAAGCTTGTACACAATGGATTTATTAGCCAAAACTTGTATAATTAGATTTATTATAGATTCAACCTTTTAGTGCACCATGAGAGCTGACTTCCAAAAGGAAACATTTAGCTTTTTATAAAGTGGGACATTATCTTGTAAAGTAAATAATCTATGCCCCACCTCCTATCACCCATTCATTCTGTAAGTTCTAATTGTTCTAAGTATTTCTAATTGTTCTAAGTATTAAGTTCTAAGTATTTCTCCAAGTAAAGACCTCTTTATACCATCGGCTATCTTCCTGCAAATATTCTAGAATCCCCCCCTTCCTTGTTCCATATTTGCATGGGATATAGTCACTGATTTTACAAGCCATTTCTGCACGAACAACTCAATGAGCAGGAGCCCTGCATCTGTCCACTTTTGGCACTGTGACCACACAGCTAAAAGAGGCAGCACAAAGTAAAGTGTGGTCAAAAGAGATTCACAATTCTCCCTCACACGAGAGGCTGAAGACACTCACATTTCCTGCTCATTTTAAGTCTTCAACTTTTCTTCCTTCCCCCTAAGAATGCTCCCACTGGGGTTTTTGTAGCAAAACAGAATGTCAGCTCTGGAAGAGGCCTTTGAGTCTGCTGAGCCCCATCCCTCCGTTTGTATACAGACTCAGGAGCTTCGTCTCCTGACCCCCTCATCCAGTGCTCTTCACCCTGCACCACCTGGAGGCTGTTCCATGCTCCATCCCCCCCCCCCCCCCCACCTCCCACCCCCACCGAGAACCAGGGCACCTTTCAGTCTACCAAGCCAGAAACTGAGATCAGGTGCACAAACAACACCACCTTCAGAGGTGATAAGGGTAAGCAAATAAATACCAGGCAGGAACAGAAGCAGAGTTTGGCTCTCAGCACCCTGGAGATAAGTGTTTGATCTGGGCTGAGCACATCCCTTATCTGGTGAGAAACCACATTCACACTCAGAGGGAGCCTGAGCTTGCAGCAAGCACATCTGGAACCCTATGAGTGCTGACCTGGTCCTCACACTAGCTGAACAATGGATTAGGGGCAACTGTTACCACCCACCCAGGGGTCCCTGAACTCCTGGGAGATCATAAACTAAAGATTCCAAAGAAGACAGAGCCAAAGTTCTCAGCTGAAGAGTCCTGGTGGCCCCAGTCTCTCCTCATCCACTAAGGGCCTCTGGGGCATGCCATGGATTTTCCAAGTCTGCCCAGTAAAGCTTCTTAGAAGTGTCATAAGCCTCATTCTCTCACCATTCAAGTTACTGAAGCTGAAGAAAACAGTGAAGAATGAACCCAGGGAGAAAACCATTAGCGTGTCTCTAAAGAGACTTGACTAAGATGACGTACATACAGATAATAATAGTGACAATAATAGCAGCTAATGTTTACTGAGCATTTACTATATGCCAGGCACTATATACTAAGTGTTTCTCCTTCAATCCTCACCACAAAACTTTGAGGTCAGTACTATTGTTGAAATTTACAATTGAAAAATAGGAT